GTGCTGGTTGGGTATCGAAAGCTAATGTGTCACTTAGCAGTTTATTTTATTTAGCTTTTTTTCCAGCTGATAACAGTTTTCCTGTAGCTTCTTGATCTTTTTAGTCATGCTTTAAAAATGAGGCGTACAAATGCTGGCTTAAATTTGAGAAATGTAGCTGCCCTTTAGCTGTATTTGCTCAACTGGCAATTTCCAGGAATTTTCATTTCTGACAAACATATTTGACATAAATACCCGTGACATTCTATCCCTGCTTGTCCCCAGCGATGTTCCTGCTGTTTTCCTGAGCCCCTGCCCGTGCCGCGGGGACGCTGGCAGTGCCGCGCCAGCCCAGGCCGGGGCCGGACGGAGGGGTGGTGGAGCAGGTGCCTGCGCTGGTCCCAAACCTGCTCAGCTCTTCTTTCCTCTTTTCTTGGAAAGCCACAGAGCTCTTTTAAAGCTCGGTCTTTCACTGGCACTCCTCTTCTTGCGCCTTCTCAAAGTGTACTTGTTGTCTGGAGCTTTGGATCGTTCCTCTGCTGCGCGCTGGCTCGCCAAGGACAGGGCTGTGGGGTATGCGCAGAGGAGAAAAGAAGCAAACCTCACTCCGTTCTTCACGTTTCCTTCTGAAAAGGAAGGAAATTGCTTTCGAAAGCGACTTCAGTTAGCCTTGTGGTGGCTGTGTTTGCTGACAACCTCAAAGCTTTGCTCTGAGCCGTTCCCCACGGCAGCGACCCCCTGGGGAAGGCTCATCCCAGGAGGAGACCTGCGCAGCCAGGAGCAGGGGCGAGCCTGGGAAGACCCCAACCCCGAGACTGAGTGGTGTCCGCCCAACGGCTGGAGATGCCCGCCCTGGCCGTGCTCTGCCTGCGGCTGAGGTCTCCCTTTCTCCTGGGCATGAGCTTCCTCGGGGAAGGGACTGTCCTTGCCGGAGCGCAGCGCTGCTGTCACCCCGGGGCTTCCCCGGCAGGCAGCCTCGCCTTCAAGCACACGAGCTGCTCACAGGGCTCACCCGGCTCTCGTCGATGCCCCTCAAACACCGGAGCTCAGCTCCGCTTTGTTCGTCCCCTGCAAGGGATGGAGCAGCATCTCGGCGGTGCCGGGGGCCGCTCGCCAGGCTCATGGAAGGATGCCACACGCGATGTAAATACCGTGTGAACGGCCTGGTCGTGCCGGGGCCGGCTGCAGCAATCCGGTGTCAGCGTACGCGCGTGTTGCAAATGCACGGCCATCTGCTCGGGGTGCAGCAGGAGCTGGTTTGGTGTCTGCCAGGGGCTGAGCAAGCTGCCGTTAATGGGTGAATAGAGCTGTTTTAGCTTGTTTACTGAAGGGGTGATCAATATCCCTCCAAATGCTGGGATTTTATTTTTCCTGCAAAAGGCCCAGTGACTGCAAATGCAGCCCTGCAGCCTGCGTACAGAGTGAATCAGGTTTTTTCTGTAGCAGGCTGGAAAGAGCTCTACTTCTTACATGAGCCAGGAACGAAAAGCTGCTCCTTTTCCTTCAGTCATTAATGTATACTGACAGTCAGACAGCAGCACCTTTTTGGCTTGAAACCTCGCTTAGAGCGTGCTTCTGCACGGCAGTAGAAATTAAGTGGAAGTATGTGAAATCTGACATTGCACAGTGCGGGGTTTTCTAAAGTTCTCCCCTGGGCACAAACCTGCCTGGCAGCAGCAGAACTCCCAGGCAGGGAGCCCCTCAGGTGTGCCAGCCCCACAGCCACCCAGTCCCCTTCAACCCAACCCCCTGCTGAGGTTGCCCTCCGGCTCGTTCTTGCAAGAAAACCGCAGCACTCCCGTTGCCTCCGCAGCGAGCGGCGCTTGCAACCGGGACACCCAGGCTGGGCTTGCCCTGCCGCCAGAAATTGAAACCTTCATTTTATGGATCCTGGGGCTTCTGAACAGGGGAAGACAGCGGTCCACAGGTAAAAGTACAATCAAGACCACGTGTAAAAATGCTGCTGTATTGTTTGAAACCAAGAAACAATTTTTGTGCTGATATGAGCTGGTTCAGGTGCATTAGTTGCAGTGGAACGGAGTTATTTTGCCTTAGCAGCGTTTGTTCTTGAAGTTAAAAACAGAGTAACATTGCATAGAAATGATGAATGAACCATCAAGATTCGAGGTGTTAAAATGTGTTAACGTATGAAAATGAAGTGCTCTTCTCTAGCTCTAACATAATTAAAATACGTTGGTTTAATTGGTTTGCTGCCTACAGAATGTCACCGAGCTGCCGTGTCACAGCACCTCTCGTGTCGGTCTCTGCGTGAGTCAGGAGAGACCTCTCGGTGGCTGAAGAAGACCGGGTGTAGCCAGGACACCAGCCACCAGGCTTTGCCCTCCTGATGCCTCCGGGGATCTCTCGAAACATGGGATGCAGAGCAGTGCCCTCTCCCTCCTCACACCACCGGGAAGCAGCGCCGGGGTCTCCGCCTCGACGGCCGCAGCCGCCCGCACGAGGTCAGAGCTTTGCACCGGGCAGGGTGAGAGCTGGGGACCCCCATGGCTCGCTGAGAGATCTGCACGGCATCCAAGCAGGAGCACGTCACCCGAAATCCTTCCTTGGGCCCCAGTGCCGGGCGGGAGCTCTCGGCACAGCCAGCCCGTCCCCCCAGCTCCCCTCCCCGGGGTTCCACGCGGGTCGAGGAGTTTCCAGCCGGCCAAGGAGAGATGCAAACAAGCACTTCCCCTTTGCTCAGCGGGCGTTTTGCCGTGCCTCCCCCCACGAAAGCGGCCCCCGCGTCCTGCGCGGCCAAACAAACCCCTCCTTTGCCCTGACTCACGGCTGACCGGCCGTATGCAAACGAGGGCGAGCGGCGGTGGCGGAGCCCAGCGCCCGGGCCCCGGCCTGGTCCCGGGCGGTGGCAGCGCCAGCCCGGGGGATGGTAAGGTGGCCTCGTGCCGGCTGTCGCGCTGCCGCTTCTCGAGAAGCCTCCGCTGCTGCTCTAGCAAGACGGTTTCTGAATGGAGCCTTTCGTTGTTCTACCCTGACCGCTTGCTTTGAAGCTGATCGATCAGTCTTAATCTAACGACTGCTGAATCAATGGGTCTGTCGCTGCAGCAAGGTTTTAGTTGTTGTTCGTGTTTAAAGCGACAACGTTAGCGCAGTGTTCTCCAGAACGAAAATCTCACTAACGAGTTGAGGTTCTTCTCAAGAGCCTGCACTGACGGGGTGAGGCTGGGATCTGCACGTGGGGTTGGTCCGGCCAGAGTCAGCGTTCACGGCTGTTTAATTTTGCCTCCTGCGCTGTGGTGTGAGTGTAGGTATTTGCTGGATGTAACTTCAGGAAGTTCTGTATCTGCTGTGCTTTATTCTGCCTCACGGTCTAACTTTAAAATAAAATACGGGGCTTTGAGAGCAGAGAGCTGTTAACAGGTTGTAGACACCAGAGCTGCTTTGAGAATACTGACAATAACCACATGGTTTTCTGTCTTTAGCAGGTTCTGTCTTTAGCAGATTCTGTGGCAGTCACGTTGCTGCTCTTTCAGAGCTTAGATTTAGCTTGAGTTCAGTTTTAATCTATTTCCCGTTTTTCTAATGCTCTGTTTTCCCCTGCCTTTCTAACTGTTTTGCTGATGTTTTAACCAAAGGCTCTCGCTAAAACCTTGCTTTACCTTGCCGTTCCCCTGCAGGTGGGTGTGGGTGCGTTTGCCTGAGGAGGGAGAGGAGCGAGCACTTGAGCTCCCGCTCTATTTCTTCCCCTGTAGTGTTAAAGCCATTTTTTAACCAACCGGTAGAAAGAAAGCAAAATTTGTCCTCAGGCAAACTCACAGTTGGTGCAGCTTCCTAGAAAGCGTTGCTTAAAGAACGCTGGTCGTGCTGCTCACTCCCAAGCCGAAAGGAGCAGCTCTGTGTCTGGAGCCAAGGGGGAAATGAAATGGCAGTGCTGAGGGGGTGGCAGCCCTGCCGGCAGCTCTCCTGGCTGCAAACAGCCCGGCGTTTGCCAGCCGGGAGCTCAGCGTTGTCCCGGCAGGGAGCAGCCTCTCCTGCTCCAGCCGCTCCGCGGGGCTGGGCTTGGGGCACGCCGTTAGAGGGGTGGGGGCTCAGCAGGAGTTAAGAGCTGCGATTGAATAAATCATGCACAGAGTTCTCACTTCATGGGAAATTAATAACAAAAGTGACTTTAAGTTTGTGAATTTGGCTTCAAAGGCGTTTTATCCCGAACTTGACCGTGCTGTCCCCTTGGCTAGAGTCGCCTTCGTGTCAGCGAGGGCTCAGCTGCGACTTTCCTCAACGAACCTCCCCTTCTTGAAAGGGCTTGTTGTAGAAAACAGAAGAGACTCGTAAAACCCCGGGAGCAGAAATGCCCTTTGTCTGTAGGAGCGGCTCGGAAGCGCTCTGCCACGTCTGCCGTGATGCAGAGGGCACACGCTTCATCCCCATGGCACCTTCCTGGCAATTCTGGTACTGCGATACCAGCAAAACTGTGCAAAGTGCATAACGAGTGGTTCAATTAACTTAACAAACCCATTCTCTCCTGAATGAATGAATTCCGAGTAACGCTGTCAGAGCGCGGTCATATTGCTGCTAATGACTTCATCCTTTATCGGTCCTGACAGCAGACTCCCGCTCCAGTGATGAGCGAGGAGGCCACGGGACAGGGGTTGGGTAACAGGAGGCAGATGACTTCCAGCAAGGGCTGTGACAAAGCGGTGACCGGTGAGTTTCACTTTAGCCCCTGGTCGTGCTGTGGGTTTGGCCAAGCGGCAGCTGCCACGTTATGGCAGATGCTTTCAGTCGGCGCTCTTACCTCAGACCGCTCACACAGGTTTTTATTAGTGCAAGTTCGGTCACTCTGGTCAATAGCTGAGAGCAGAAATCTGGTGTGTGTAAGGGATTTTCTTCAAGTTCAAGTCTCAACTTACCCTATAAACTGTCAGGGAATAGCATGCTGTATTCACCTATTACAGCAACAACATAAAAATAGCCGTGGGGTGATCTTCTCCTAATTTCTGGTGTTGTATTTTTCTTTCCTTTTAACTTTCCAGGATGTGAACGAGACAGGTGGCTGTTTGCCGATGAACAGAGTCCTGGAAAAGTATTATCTTTCCACCATGTACAGCCTTGAGTTCATTTTGGGCTTCACTGGAAACATCATTGTTGTGTTCGGCTATATTTTCTGCCTGAAAAACTGGAAAAGTGGCAACATCTACCTCTTCAACTTATCATTATCAGATTTATTATTTCTGTGTACTCTTCCAATCCTCGTGAACAGCTACTCCGAAGACCAGTGGGCAATGGGGAGCACCTTGTGCCACAGCAACAGGTTCCTGTTGCATGCAAACCTGTACAGCAGCATCCTTTTCCTCACCGTTATCAGTATTGACCGATACATGCTCATAAAATACCCTTTCCGAGAACATGTTCTGCAGAAGAGGAAAACAGCCCTTATCATCTCTGTTGCCGTATGGGTCAGCGTGATACTGGAGCTGCTGCCACTGATGTATTTCCTGGAGCCTGTAACACCTGCCAATAATTACAAGTGTCTTGACTACGCCAGCTCTGGAGACCCCGCGGAAAACCTCATCTACAGCGTGTTCCTGACCGTCTTTGGGTTCCTGATCCCTCTCGTGGTCATGTGCTGCTTCTACGTGAAGATGGTTCTTTTTCTTAAAAACAGGAGCGAGCAAGTCAGTTCCCTTCTGACACTTGAAAAACCGCTGACGTTAGTGGTCCTCACCGTGGTTATCTTCTCATTGCTCTTCACTCCCTATCACATAATGCGCAATGTCCGACTCGCTTCCCGAATACCGGCCTTGGCAGTCTCCGCGTGCACGCAGGGCGTCATCAACACCATCTACATCATCACGAGGCCCGTTGCGTTCTTGAACAGCGCCATTAATCCTGTGTTTTATTTCTTGATGGGCGACCACTTCAGAGAGATGCTGATGGCAAAGATAAGGTGGCTCTCGAGCAGGTTGACAACCACCAGCAAATGAGCGAATAAGTAGACCTCCCGTAGCGGGAGAAGGGGGGAGGAAACTCTCTTAAGGAGAGCCTTCCTCTGTGTACAGTGCCATCTTTTTTTAGATACTTTCATTTATGCTGTAGAATATGTGTGAGCTGAGTGTGCTCCTCTAAACGCACTTGCTACCCTGCTGTTCAGGATCCCTCCTTCTGCTGATCTGACTCCGGCAAACCAGCAGCGATGCTCTCGCGACAGTACAGCAGGAAAGGGCGCGCTGGGGCAGGATGCGCCGGGGCCTATTCGTATCGTAAATAAAATATCATCGGGGTAGCTCTTAGAGGGAAAATACGCTGCTCTCAGACGGCTTCTTTCTGAGCCATGACGTGGTGCCGGACTGGACCTAGGCTTGGGTAAGATGTGCCGGGGCCACCGATTCACACGGGCAGCACAGTCTGGGAATCAGAGTCGAGACGTCTTTATGTGAGGGCTTGCAAATTCTGCCTCTCCTGGCAGGCTCACCTTTCCGAGTAAATAACTGGGACAGATTCCATTTCCAGCTGATTTGGCGAGGGCTGGCAACTCGGATGTGGCAAAAAGGGAGGGAAGCAAAGGGCGGGGTGGAGCCTTCGCTGCGGTGCAGAAGGGAGACGGGGGCGAGGTTGCTATTTTTGCTCGTAGCAAGTGCGAGGAGCCCAGAAAGCTGTAACGCTCGGCTGCTGCTCTTATGAGCGTTTCCTGGCAGCACTGAGACAGCGAAGACGTGTGTGTGTGCAGACAGGTTCCTTCACTTTGATGTTAAAGCTGGATTCAGCTTGCAGAAGTGAAAACAAGAAAATCTATCGGTTTAGTTCCTAACCGAGATTTGCCTTCGTACATCCCTGGGACAGCTATGCAAGCTCTCACTGGCATTTTTGCTCTTTTCAAAGTATGGATTTACTTAACTTTAATGTAATTATCTATAAGTGCGAGCAGAATGTATAGCTTGAAGCAGAATTTGGACCTCACTCTTACAACTTCATTAACAGTTCCAATACTGAAACAGGAGCTAACGAGGAGCCAGTTCTCCGCCTGACACCCCTGCAGAATCGTTGCAGCAGCAGAACTCACTCTCCAAGTGTCTGACCTGACTTCAAATATACAGAGTGGAGATTGATGGAGTAATAAGCTTGTACGAGCTTGGGCTCGGGAAGGACCGGCTGAGAGGGGTGGGGGAGTGTGGGCAGCAGCGCGGGCAGGAGGCGAGCGCCAGCCCGGGGCTTGCTGCTCCTCGAGGCACAGAGAAAGGACACATGGTCGTGTCTCATCAGAGACAGCTTTAGTTCTGCTTCCCGAGGTGGAGTTCAGCTGCAATGCACTCAACTGTTGCTTCGTTACCTGCCTGCCTGGTAATAAACTGTCCATCCTGTTTTAATAAAAACCAAAGCCTCCCTTGTGCTGAGTGGTTCGGTTCATACGCTATTCGGTTTGATGCCCGTGAAGCCCCTCTGTCTGCCTTTTCCCTGCTCTCAGTCTGTGAGCAAAAGGACCCCTGGGGCTCGGTTTGGGGGACAAAGCAGCCGCTTCCCTCTGCACGTATCTCGTACGTACGCCTGTGCTGTGCCCAGCTACCCGCGGGGATCCCCCTGAGCTTGGGGGGATGCTGCTGCTCAGCCCGGCGGTACTGCGGGAAGGACTCTGCTGTCACATCCCACGAGTGTCTCCAGCGCTGCTCCCCCAAAAGTTTGCCCTGGGAGGGTGGTCCCGGCCCCTCCATCAGTGCCACCAGCCAAAGCCACCGCTCTCCTGCTCCCCTGGAGCAGCACAGCTGGGGGCTGGAAACTGCAGCCAGGCTGCGCCAGCGGGGAGAGGGGTGCCTGGGGAGCGCTAACCAGAGCCCTGACCGCGTAAATCCTTGTTTTCTTCCCTCTGTTTGCTCCGTAACAAATCTTTATACACAAATTGCTAAATTGCTCTGTCAGCGGTGGAAAAAAGATCCATCATGTGTGTTGTGGCAGCAAGGCCTGGGGCAGATAAGGCTGTGCTTGAGTTTCCGTTATCGATCCCTCCTGCTGTTGGGAGGACCATTGTACGTAGTGCCAAGAGGCAATGATTCGGCTGGACATTGTGCGTGTTTATTCCTCTACAGAGGGAACTAAGGGCAGAGTTTCCAAACAGGGGCTGGATATTCCATTTCTGAAGTTGGACTCTAATGCACTAAAGATGCATTTTCTTCCAGAGAAAGTATGGTACAGCAATAAATACTAAGCTGAAGCACCTTTAGTAGACTCACCTCTGCCTTTTTCAGTGGACAGAACGGGACTTTTCAAAGAACTGTTTCTCTTTTAAAATGGTAGCTGCTTGGGGCTTTCCTGTATCAGCTCAGTGGCTTCTTTTTCTTGTGAAGGGGCTTCAGTGGGGCACAAGAGGAGCCAGTGGGTTTGGTTTTTTAATAATCTTGTAGCAGAAGCAGAAAGGCCATGTACACTCCGCCTGGACACGCTCCTTGTATTTCATTTTTTTCCCACATTAGGGATTTGTGGTTGTCAGCTCCCACCCCTGACTGCCTCTACTTGCTTTCACTGATGCCACCCACCCTGGGCTTGAGAGAGAATGTGAAAAGAGAAATTTTGCGTTTTCAACACAAACTCATGTTCTGTTTAGCCTGGTTTCTCATGTGTGCCTCATGCAGGAATCTGCCAAACCAAATGCAACACCTCTCGCTCCACAGAGCCACCCATTGCACCTTCCGTTCAGCTGACCGCCTGGCGGAGTTATGCATGAGATTGGTGCGATAAAGCGGTGAATTTTGTTACTGCTGGAGCCCCAGACTCGGTTCAGTTTGCGATCCACGCCGTGTTCCTGGGGTTACGTAGGCGGCTCCTTGGCAAGAGGCTCACCGTGGTTCCCGGTGCCACGTGCCCTTCCTTCTCAACGGTAGTGCTTCTCGTCTGGGGTTCGCCACCATCTTCACAGGACATGGAAACATCTTCCTTCGCCTTTGGATGCCACAGGGCAGTTTCACCACCCCAGCCACCCCTTTTCCCCGACGCGCGTGGGCCGTACGTGCTGGGCGGCGAGACGGCAG